TCAAGGAAGTCTTTCTGACCCACTCAGTAGATAGATGATGTTCACATCTCTCTCAGACCTGCCTTTTTATCCAGCAAATGAAGGAGAGTACCATGCTGTGGTTATAACTCCTTGCTGGGGCTCAGGGTGCCATATTTTCTGTTTCTGGATTCATCTCTTCTGGACCAATTTGGAGCCAGTGTACATTTGCACAGCTTCATAGCAGACGTGCACTGAGGCCTGTCTCAGGCATGGACAAAAACTAAAGTATATTCTATTCTGCAAGACAGCAGGAGCTGATTCTCCCTGCAGAGAGCCTGGTAGGAGTTTCAGGGTGCTTTAGGGGCAGAAGAACCCTACACACTACATTAGCAGCTGAGAAGAGCTAGAGAAGCTTTTTATTCTCCGTGCAGCCACATGCTCCTGCCCCTTTCCACTGCCCTCATGAAAGATGCAAAGCAGTTGGAGGCAGCAGCCTTGAGATGGCCAAGCTTAGAGTAATCCTCCTACCCCTGGTGCCACCATGGCCCCCCGCGGGCTGGGCCAGGGGAGGATGAGAGGAGAGGGCTCACCGGCTCAGCTGGTGCCTGCTCCCACCGTTGTTTCTCAGCTCTGCGCAGAAGTGACACCCACATCCTCTGCAAGATGGCTCTCTGCCAGATGTGTATGACAAAGAGTGAAAGGGAGAGAAACTGAAGGGGCAGCGGGGCAGAGACATGGAGTGTATGTCTGTTGTGTACAGAGTGTATGTATGTCCGTTGGCTTAAATTAAAATCAACCAACCAATGTGATTGGAAAACCGGGAGAAAGTGAAGAGGCAGATGGAGGAGTGAGGAGGAGATGTTGCCTTAGTCACAACAGCTTAGAGCAACACGTGAGACCATCCAGAGCCAAGTCTTGCTCCCCTCCCTCGTTTCAGGCTGTAAGCTCTTTGGGGAATACACCACCCTCAGTTACATGTTTTTACAGTTACAGTACAGTGGAGCTCAGGTCTTGGAACACCAGTAACAAGCCCTCTGCCCTTCACCATAGTTCATTTTGATCTAATCTGCTGTACCCAGCTCTTGCTTGGAGGTTTTAAAACTAAATCTCTTTTTCTAATTATAGTTCTATATAGAGAAGAACAGTTTCCTTTACTAGAATAAGTAATGACCTGATTTTTATGTGTGCTGCTCACAGGGGAAAGCACAAAGCCAGTCCTGCTATATTCCTACATGATCTTGTAGGAAGGCTCCTGTCTAATCTTTGGCAAGCCTTACAAAAAACCTGCAGTGCCGCAAACTAAGGAAAACAATGAATAATTCATTTTCTGATCTGTTTCAGGATTGTTTTCTCCAAAATATCTATTTTAATAATTCATGTGATTTTTAGCTGCACCATGCTGCAGATGCAAGGGTACAGAAGAGAGGCATACTGCTTTTCTGAGTGCAGCCTGGAGGACTCATTAGTACAAAATTCCAGTTCACATTGGACCAGTTCAGAGTGAGGAATGAGAGGTAAAGATCAGAGTGGTTAGCAAGATTCAAAGTAGAACAGTTCTTCAAAAGTCAGAGGTTATGAAAGTCATTTACAGAGGAGTCTTCCAGTGATGCCAAAATGGTCATGTGGAAGATGTCAAGCTTGTCAAGAGCCAACTGGGGGACAAAGGGAAATACATGCAGAGTTCCCCTATTTCCCAACAGAACCTGACAAACACATGAACTCAGCATTCATAGAACTGCCCAGAGTTACTGTTTCAGGTTGTAACTGATTCCTGCCTCAGTCAGATCCATCCACACAGTAGGCCTGTGGATTGTAGGCCTCTGGAGGTTTCCTCCAGAGCTCATGCAGGAATGACTCCAATCTGCAAGACCCCACTGGTGGATGACCCTGCAATGCTGGCTGCCCCTGTGGAAGGGTCCAAAACTTCAGGGCACATTATGACAAAAATGACAGGACAGCAAATGAAACCTTGAAAGCTAACCACAGCCCATGAAAGGCAGGATAAAGGAAATGATGATGCCTCCTGCAAAAGGAAACCAACACATGCATGATGAAAACAGTGATTCTGTAGGTCAGTAGCAGCAGACTTGGGTTCATTAACCTGAGCATCAGTGCCCTGTTCACATACACCCTGCTCCACCTAACAGCACTTACTTCAACTGGGCACATGCTGAAAAATCTCCACTTGCAGCAAAGTGCTCCAGCCAGCACTGCTAAGCCACTGGCACCTGGCTGTGCCCCACAGTGCACACAGCACAGATGCAGCTGCTGTTAAAGAGTGGTCTTCCATTAACAAGGACAATGGATTAATCCTCTTTACCCTCTACATGACAGGAAATTTTCCAGTCCAGCTTAAGTGCTGCTCCAAGAAACAGCAGGAGTTAAAATTCTCCAAGACAAATTGCATAAATATGATGGACTTTGATTGCTTCCAAAAATAGTACCTAGAAATACCACCAGCATTTAAAAAAATACCTTCCCAAAGAGCCAGTAAGAACCTCAGCAAAAATAATTCTCCCTTCCCCAAAGGGAGAAAAAAGCTACAAGCCAAAAAGTGACAGAAAGCCAGAGCAGCACTTGCTCTCCTCCTGGCTGTAATCAAAACCCTGGGCATAGATCCTGCCGGTGCTCACCGCCCCAGCTCCACAGATGCTGGTGCAATACTGAGGTTACTGAAGACAAACCAGTGCCCACCTACGTTGCTGAAGGAGCCCTAGCAACAATTTAAATTCACATTAGCTGGCATAAAGAAGTGCTGTGCTATGGGAAGCGACACAGAGAATCTGCAATGTAGAGAAATACAGGCCACCCTTGTATAATTTTGCATATAGAATTAAAGAACCACAACACTACGTGGTCCTTTTTTCTGGCTTTAAGCAGACAAAGGTAAACATTTCCACATTTTAAATCACATACAATCTTCCAATATGTTTTTATCAACTATATTTTCATCTGCCTGCCCAAAGCAAGACATATTCTATATAGCATCAGTACACTATCTTGTATTTTATAAAACAAACAGCATCTTAGACTAACAACTTGGCTGGGCCTCTTTAAAACACCTGGGTTGAATGTCACTGCCAATGTAAATTATTTGCCTAAGAAAAATACCTGTTAAAAAAGTAAGGGGCTGAAGAGCTCCACAGGCTGGGCAAGCAGCGCTGGCTGCCACGCAGGGCCAGGGATGATGCTTTCCCAGCAGTGGGCATCTGGGCAGCTTCGCTGGTGCCTTTGGGAGAGATGTCAGGTAAGTGCAGCAACCATCAGGCTGTGGAAAGTTTTTCAGAAGATCCAACCTAAACCCTCTCTACTCTTAGTTACACCAATATCTGCACCCTGCAGTGAGTATAAATATTGATTCTACTTTCTTGAAACACGTTTTATGCTTTTTTCTTCTTCTTTCCGTTCCTTTAATTTTCTCCTCCCTAAGGAAAGCAGCATCCAGCTCCTCGCAGGTCGGTTTGGAGGTTATCTTTTTTAAATGAAAGTTCAGGTTTGCATTGTGGTAATTGTGGTAAAGGGCCATTCCTGGGGAGGAGAGAAGGCAGTGCCAGGCAGACATTCTCCCTCAGAGAGCACAGCCAGTTTGGCAGGCACCAGGGACACTCTGCCCCATGTTTGACAACGGTTTTGAGAGCAAGGATGACACAGGCCACACAGCTGAAGCACGAGTGGGCAGGAGGATAAAATCTGTAGCCACCAGCATGCAGAGGCTCCACAGCATGAGGAATTTCGCACTTAGCTTCATTAAAATCATCTCCCTGCAAGACAGGAAAAGCAATCACCCAAAGCAGCTACATTACAGTGACACAATCTGACACTGAGCCAGATGACATTTTCTGATTTTATTTCAAGTTGACACTTTGAGACAAGGTGTAACAACTGGGAGGATCACAGCAGTAAGAAGGTAGCAGGGACCTTCATGCCTCCCTCCCCACCAACTCCATGAGCTCCAGTGCAGAGAATTAAAAACAAACCAGCATAGCCTAACAAATTGCAGAAGGCATTCAACTCAGAGAAGGGCAGGCAAAGAAAGTGAGCCTAAGATTTGAAACAATGAAAACTGTTGCTAGAAACTGATTTTAGAAGTTGAGAGTGATGCAAAGTCACCCTTGATATCTCATGATTATCAATAACCACTTTCCCAAATCAATGGTAGTTAAGTTCAACATGCAGTTTTTATTTATTTCATGCAAAATATGCAACAGTTAATACTTCCAGTTCCGTATTTCCAAATTAATCAGAAAAGACTAATTATCACAACACCCCTAAAGTTTTGCTCATTAACTCCACAACGAGTGCAAGTTTCCAGCCCTACAGAGAAGTCCAAATGCCCATCTTACATTTTAGCAAAGAAATGAGAGGGCTTAAATGCAAGGAGCTTCCCAAGAACTTTAACTACCCCCATTGATTTACTTTTCACTTATGAAGTGATGGCCCAAGCTGTAACTACAAATGGTATAAAGAACCTGATCTGAGGAAGTTCAGATCACTCTTCAGACCAGGGAAATATGACAAAGCTGTTATATTCCCTTTTACCTGATCCGTTAAAGTAAACCAGCTTTCACCTGTATTAGTGCATATCTCAAAAATAAAACCCACAGTGCTTCAGTTTAGAATGACATATAATTTATTCATATAATTCACAAGTAGTTGGACACTACTCAATCTCCATATGCAAGTGATTTACACAAACATATAATACTAAAATTGATTGCTTAGAAGGTAAAAAATACCATGGGTATGAAATGCCATGGTAGATGCTGTTCAATATACTACACAATCTTCGTGTCAGACAATTTTACTCATTTTTTAGAAAAAAAGGCAGTTTGCCATTTTTAATTCTTTTCATAAGTAGTCTGGGAAACTCAAGTGGTTTTGCTCTAAACCTTCTAATCAATTATTTCTCCCAGTTCTTAGGAACTGAATTGACAACCAAAGCAACATTTTCAGTAGTTCAAAAAAAATACCCAAAGAACAAAACCAAAAACACCCACACCAAAAACAAACCAGATTTTTGCTCCCCTGAATTCACCAAGCATAAGGTGACCAAATCATGTTGCCTTCCAACATGCAACACAAAATACTAACCCCCTTTATGTTCAAAGGAATGTGCAGGAATTTAGACCATGCTTCACCATGATGGCATTGGTGACAACAGCCTGATGACAGAATTTTTGGCCCCTGCCAGTATCCAGTGGTTGTGAGTGTGTTTGCAGTTCACTGTGAATGTATTAGCATCACCAGACCATTTGGTATTCATGCAGCTGTGGAGTCTGATTGCAATTCTGCATAAACTCTTCTCACTGAAACTTGTATCTCATAAGCCTCATTAATTCTGCATTAAGCATATAATGGCTGCACGGAGAAAATTGGACTTTAATGTGTTTGCCTGCATCAGATTAAGTTACACACACTATCTTCTAGACGAGGTCCAAACAAATATTTTGCTTGAAATGCCAGTAGTTATCTTAAAACATACCAAGTTAAAAAGCTTTCACAATACAAGATCCAGCTACTTATTCCACATATACAAAAACACAGCTAGAGAAATACAATTCAATTGTCAATGCTGAATTATGAGGAAAGTCTAAAAAAATAGAAAACCTCTGATATCCAGACTTCAATTCAGAATGTAACACTGCATAATGTGGCAATATGAGCACCCATTTAAAATGAGAAATCCCCTACGAGAGAAGCAGAAGGGGATCTAGTACGTGTGAGAAAAAAAAAATTAGATGAATATTGCACCAAAAACATGCATACAATTGCCATGGTCATTCAGTATCCTAGTGGTGGTCTAAGCAGTGATCTAACACAAGAGTGAGACAGTGTTTCCAAATAAAATGGAATGAGTAACTACATATTGATTAAACTTTCTGATGCAGCAAAGTGAGGGCACAGAGCCATCTCTGGGTTCTGGAGCTGTTTCAAGATTTGCTTGTGAAATTTCTCTCTGACACGATTGAACTCCATTATGTCCAGTGGATCCTCTTCAATCCAGAATTTGTGGAATTCATGCATTAAGTAGCCTACAAAATAATAAAAAAGAAGAGAGAGATACCATATGTAAAGATCACACACAAAATTATGAAGTGGCAAATCCTGGTCACTGAGGTCTGACACCTCACAACAGTATGCAGGGACAAGACTAAACTATTTTGGACAAACCTCAAATGTGACGAGTATCATACATGGGCAGAACTTGTCACAATAAACACAAGAAGTCACTAGTTGTCTTGACATATGGATACATGAACTAAAGCATTAAACTAATGAGTATAAAAGCAGGGGAAGATGCTGCTGGTGCTGCTCCACCAGCCTTTTATTTATATTTGAGTTCTGCCTCACAGACATTTCCTCACAGGTACATTGCCTACCCTCCACTAGAGAATGTACTCATAGGTAATATAACTGTTACCATCACACCTTTCTGTATTAATCTTCATGCACAATTTTACCTTGTGTGTGCACGACCTTGCTGGAAATGCTGTTTAACACTTATGCCTATGATCCTGGAAAGATGAGTGATAAGGTGATATACAGAACCACTAGCTTTGGTAACACATTCCTGTCGCAGGAAGGAAATTTGATTCCAAAGCAGGTTTAATATACAGGCTCTGATTAAGGTCTTTACCCTCTCAATTCCGTGCCATCCTTGGACCCAAAGAGTTTCACTGACAGGAAAAACATTATATCCAGCACTACACTTCAGTGAACCAAAACCAGCCTCAACCCCAGCTTCCACAGCAGATGAACCACTGAAGATGTATAATCCTTCCTCCCAGTACAGCAAAATGTGTAAGTAAATTTTCTGTATTCCAGAAAGTGAGGGCATTTGTTGCAGGCTTAATTGCTTGTATCCATTTACTTCTATTGTATGATGATTATAACACACATACTTCTGAACTTCAATTTCAAGGTATATTTGCATAGTCATATCTTTTGCCCATCATCAATTTGACGAACTTCATGCAAAAGGCACGTTAAATACATCTTCAAATCTCCTCCATGTATTCCAACAGCCACAGGAGATGATACTTTCAAAGAAAAGCTCAGTAAAACCCCTTCAAAAAACCCAACCAACCAACTAAACCACTAAATAGCATCCTTTGTCCTGGGTTCAGCTACAGCAATCATTTTTCCTTCTCAGTAGCTGCTGCAGTGCTGTGTTTTTGATTTTCAGCCTGGGAACAACACCAATAACACCGATGTTTTTAGTTCTTGCTAAATAATGTTTACTCTGACCAAGGACTTTCTCAGTCTCATACTCTGCCAGGGAGGAGGGGAAGCCGGGAGGAAGCAGAGACAGGACACCTGACCCAAACTGGCCAAAGGGGTATTCCATACCACAGCACGTCATGCCCAGTATAGAAACGGGGGAGAGTTACCCAGAAGGCCCAGATCGCTGCTCGGGTCGGGCTGGGTATCGGTCGGCGGGTGGTGAGCGGTTGTGTCCTCTCCCCTTGTTATTTCCCTTATCATTATTATTGGTAGCAGTAGTGGTTTGTATTATACCTTAGTTACTGGACTGCTCTTATATCAACCCGTGGGAGTTAAATTCCTCTGATTCTCTTCCCCATCCCTCCGGAAGCGCAGGAAGGAATAAGGCAGAGAGTGAGCGAGGGGCTGTGTGGTTCTGAGTTACCGGCTGGGCTTAAACCATGACATCCTTGTTCTGGAAAGCCTATACTGTTTAATGGAACAGATGCCCAGGATGCTAATATTTGCCATTTATCCACTTAAGCAATAAGAAATTATTATAGCTGCAAAACAAAACATCTGTTACCTAAATAGCCAAACTTAAAAAACCTGAAACAAAGAAACAAACAGAACAGAACCATTGCAACTGCCATAAATGTAGGAAAACAGTGCATCTTGACTTCTTACCAGTTTCTTGCCTACACATTGAAAAATATTACAAGTATTGCTCCCACTGTGCGAGGATGCACAGCAGGTCTGTGCTGCAGGAGGGATGCTCTAATACAGGGAAAGGGCTGGAACACCTCTACTGAAGGGGGAAGTGTTATACTTGAATGTAGATACAAATATCTTAAGACAACTGTATTTATGGGGAAGCGAACTCCAGAAGCTTTTTAAAGTACCTTTAGTTTCTTGCTATTTAAATGCACTCTAAGATGACAGGAAGGTCACTTGTTCAGGCACTTGGTGCTTTGAGTTATTTTGGGGGGTTGTTTTGGTTTTTTTTTAACCCTTTGGTTTGGTAGTGGCATCCATCACAACCAAGAACTTAATCCAGTCATCCTAAAGACACAAGAAGACCAGCATGACAGTTCCTGTGCTGTATCAGCAGATTTTGATAGTATGGGTAGTACAAAAGTGTTACCAGGAGTACAGATTATGTATTTCCCACCCCCCAGCCACTTACAGAACGTCTGCTGAAAGTGCGTTAGTGTTGGTGCTTCTGGAGCAACATTGTAGAAATGGGTCTTCAGAGCTCCACTCACAAGCAGGTTGTATGTGAGGTCTGTTATGTTAATGCCCACGATAGCAAAAGAATAGCTGTAAGATAAAGCAACATTTGTTGGAAGTTTGTCTTATTTATTACACTGTAAGAAACACTGATGACCGACACTGTAGATTTTGTGTGCTGCGGAGGTGTATTAATTTTCTCCTTTGTAAGCTTTCAGTGAGGGGGTTGGAAAACACCACACGCATTTATCCTGTCTGCTTTGTACACTCTAATGGCAGTGTTTCCCTTGTGAAACATATGGTCACAGTGAAAAACAGGAGTTTCTTCATTGTGCCAGCATTTTCAGTGGAGCAGCACAGATCCATTCCTATGGAATAAGAACAAACCCAGGCATCCCTGTGCTCACCTCTGACACAGGGCAAGCACTCCACACAGTGGCTGTGCCTGCAGGGTGACCCATCGTTTGCTATTTTAACCCAGCTGCCCCACTGGAATTCATTACCCACAGTTAGGAACATCAGGTTTCAATAATTGGTCCTACAAAGACATTCCTAAGGCTAACAAGCCTGTGAAAGAGATCCAGCTGAGTTACCTCCAATGTCTTCCTAACAGAGAACTAGATACACAGGCCAGAAAACAGGCAGAAACCTAAATCAGAGCATGCTGGAAACAGAAATAAGAAAATCAGACTCATGAAAAAACCTCCTGTCCTGCTAAGAGATATCAACAAGCAAAGTGTATTTAAGCACAACACAACTCAGAAACTGGAAGTTATGTCTTAATTTGTAAGCCTGTTGCATAAAGAACTTGACATTTCTCGCAGTGACTGTTTCCTGAGAAAACATGCAATGTCCCACACTGACATTTAGTAATAAAAGCAAACTTATTTAGTTATTAAATGATTTCTCCCCTCCTCTAAACACAGCTGTCTTCTGCAGACTGTCCTGAGTATTTTTTCAATTATCTCTGTCAAGCAAACCAAATACCTTCCTTTTCTTTAACCTTTGATACCTTTCAGAAGGAAAAAGTAATAGAAGTCCAGAATTTAACTGCAATGTGGAGCCTAATGACAAGTTTCACAGAGAAATTAAATATGGGCATTAAAATGTTGTACTACAGATTTTCAGATACATTCAGAAGGAACATCCAGTTCCATACTCATGAATAATGCAGCTATACCAACCCCACTGCTTAAGAAGAAAGAAACCTAATTAATATTTCTTCCCTATTATGCTTTCCTGAAAGCAGATCAGAACCTGGCTCTGACAGTAAGAAGTGAGACTTGATCACATTACATGTTAAGAAGAATTAAACAGCTATTCATCACTGCACTATTCATAGCATCCAGAGAAAGCTTCTCTTTTTTGGTTATTTTTCCTAATTCTTACTTTAAACTGCTTTTCCTGTAATTTTGATCAAGGTCAAGGTGTGGTTAAGACAATACATGTTAGTATGTACACTGAAATTTCCCTTAAAATGTAACCAGGAAACACCTTTTTCCCCCTCAAATATACAGCATCATTGTTAACTGTTGGGATTGTGGTAACTTTAAAAGGATTTTTAAACTTACCCAATTGCCTTATCAAACTTTTTCTTCTCCCATTCGGCTTTGCTCAGTTGGCTGAGAAGGGAAAAGGAAAATTAAAATCCAGCAACTGCCATGCATCACTGAGTGATAAATATTTTCTTTCAATTTCTTTGATATTGTAACATGGACTGAACATGGTATTCTACCTCCATTGAGGTAATCACATTTAACTCTGCTCCTGACTGAATGGATTGGTATAAAAAGACTTGAAATGAGTAACTGGCTTTATAACATTGCTGATAAACTTGTTTAATCATTACCAAATATGCATCTACGGCAATGTTCTCAGTAAAAGCCAGTTATTTTCTACAGTGACCACAAATATAACCCACTTAATTTAAGTCTGAGCTATACAAAAGCTGAAAATACTACATTTCTTTCAACTCAAAGATGGTTTCAGCCTTTCATGCTGTCAAAGATATACATGGCACTCATCACAGGCATGATTCACCAGAGGCCGTAAACATGAGAAGTACTCCTCTGACAGAAAGTATTTGTGTCCAGCCAAATTAGAAGCCACTCAATAGTCAAAAATAAGGGTTAGTATTTCTTACTATTTGGCACAATAATGCAGAGCTTTTCAAGGACACAGAAGGTCCCTCCCATAAAATTAATTAGAAAACAGACTATTTTTAGACTAGATTTCTGCTGTTCAACAACATTTTCATTTACAGAGCTGTGCGATGCAACCAGTCAGCTGATATCCCACTAACCAGGTTTTAATCTGCTCATATGGAACAAGTTTAGTAGAAATCATCACCTTCATTTATTATCAGCTAAAAGCAGGCATGGAACCAAGCTTAGACATGCCTGGGGGAGTTTTGCCTTGGTAAAGCAGATCAGAGTTTGCAAGCTTTAGGTCCAAAATTACAAACACAAAGTTCATGGACTATACTTGAGCTACAATGAGTATATATTACACTAAAAACAATACCCTGACCTTCATGTAAACATAATATTTTAAAATTATTGCTATAAAGCTTCTAAGATGCTAATAGTTTCATACCCATCCTGACCTGAGTGTTACCAGGTGGCATGCATGAAGACAAAACTTCACCTCCTAAATGGCTTAGCATACAGGAATACATCAGTCTTCACTCATTCTCTAATATCTTAACTGTCTTTGTAAGCTGTGGCATAACACCAGTTAAAAGCCCAAGCAAGCATCGAATAATAAAGGTGGCACATGTAGGATGTGGACAAGCAATACAATTCAACAGAAATAGAAATTACATGGATCATGATCACATCAGAAACCAGCATGGCTGCTAAGCAACCACACCAGGAAAAACACCATGGGCACCACCGGCAGCATCTATCTTCTACTGAATTCCCTTTCAAGGTATAGAAATTGCACATGCTCACACAGCACTCCAAGACAGTCCTTGGTAATCAAACATGTAAATGAAGAACACTTGTGTGTTCCAAATGCTTTTTGTCACAGAATTAGCATTGAGAACTCAACCGCAAAATACTGAGGAGATGAAAAGCTTCACAGAATTCAGATGTGGACCTTCTATAGGGAAACCTAACATTACTAGCAGAAGAAAAATGTCTTTTAAGGCAACTGATTACTATGTAACTGGCTAAGAGGCATCTCCACCCCCAGTAATTATGGAATAAATCTCCTATTCACAAATCATTCTCAACACAAATTTTTTGCCACTTGAAGGTACCTTATCTCTCAACAGTCAGGACAACAGACTGGCCAGATTAGACACATCATTAGTCAAGGTAGACAGAGTATGTGACTATAAATAAAGGGGCTCTTCATCTGTCCTAACAAGTCCTTGGCCTAGCCTACTTTTGATTACCAAGTCAGTCACAGCTGTTGTGACACCACAGTGGCACTGCTTAGACTTTTTTTCTACAGGTAAAAGTCCCTCACAGTTGTTCCTTAAGCCTGGTACTAAATGGGTCTAAAACACCATGCTTTAGCTACAACAAGCAAGGTTGATTTCATTCTTTATATATAAGCATTCTTTATATATAAGCTCAGATGTACCCAATGTTGCACCATCAGTTATATTTCAGTTAACTTTAGAGAAAGGAATATGGATCTCTCCATGTTGCAACAAAGACTTTCAGTTTATAACATGCCAAGTTTGCTGTGTGGTTTGATCTTTATTTACATGTAGGGTCTCATAAAACTAAGAGAAAAGAAAAAAAAATACCTTAGTTCCTTCTTAGTGACTTCCCTTCATTATGAAAAGACAAAAGAATTAAAAGAAAGGTAAATAAAAATACAAAATCACTTGAAATTAGAAGTATAAATGAAAACATTTAACACTAAGTTTAACTATTTCTAAGATTCAGTATACAAGTTTGCCTCTTGGACTTGATCAGTTTTCATGGATGGATCATGATCATGATCAATCCAGTACTTGAAAACAGATAGCATGTGGCAAGGCCCAAGCATATGCCCAACAAAAGACACCTCCCCGCTCCTGCCCCAAACTCCAGCCAGGACAGTGCTCTTTCAAGTTATTTTTTTCTTGTTTCAAACATTACCTGTATTTAGGATGAAGAGAATCAGAGAGAACTTGCTGAGCTATCTCAGTGTCCCATTCAGCAAAATACCTGCAGATATATATGTTTACAGTGAATTGTTAAAGCAACACAATGAAAAGAGCATCTTAAGTTATACTGAGCTGTCCCTGGTAGGACACTGTATGTGTTATGCACTGCAAACCCACGAGCGCTCAGTGAATGTGGCATTACCAGAGTCCCCTTTCTATCCATCCTAAAAAAAAATTAATAATAAATTAGTTGCTTATTACTAGAGCATGCTGTCTGTTGAGCTCAAGAGAAAGCAGTTGAGGCTTCTTGATCTAGCAGATTCATTAAGCAAGATAAGAGTCATCACAGGAGACTAAGAACAGTAGGGATTCATCTCCAGTGGAAGTTCAAAGCTAGAGCCAAGAGTCCAGCTCCTCCACGGAGCTTTGCTAAACAGTGACGTACAGACAGTGGATGATTTATGTCCTTCAATCTGTAAAAGCAGAAAACATTTCTTTTTCCTGTCACAGGGAGAGGTTATTTTCCTAAATGTTTCAAAGTTATGTAACAACCTGCAGTAGATAAAAGGGGTGGAGGAAATAACAGGCATTGATTGATTCCCAAATTACCAACCACACATGGTACCAACACCTGGTGTGCATGAGGCAGAAGGGAAAAGGGATGTAAACTTACTGCTTAATTTTGAGTATCGACAGAAACGGAAACAGCAGTCTAACTACAGAAGTCTGCCATCGAGACCACATTTCAAGTGTTTTGCCCAAGAATTCAGCATGAAATTCCTAAACAAGAAAGCTAAACACTAACATAACCCTCCCACCTACTCACTTGCAGGGCATTTTGTTTAATGAGATCTAGATATTGGTGAAAATATACTTTACAGTTTCTTTCTTGTGGGAATAGAGTGCTAAATTACTGTGTCACAGAGAAACTAAGATTAAAAAAGGGTTTAGCAAGTGGTATTACTGAGTTGAATTAGGAATACCAAAACAAAGGTGATCCCTTCGAGAAAACAAACCCTCCAAAAACTGGGCTAGCAAATAAATTCTTTCAGTTTTTTATATCAAGTCCCTAACACTTTCATAAGTTATCCCTACAGACTTGCTAAAAATCTGCAAGTAATGCTGCTTTTCATTACTTGAGACACACAGACAGAGGAGCATACTTACACCAAGTTATATAAGCCCAGGAGACCCATCCCTCTAAAGTCTGTTTTAGGATCATCACCTTGGAAACCAATTTCACACCACTGCTTCGAAATCCGAGCTTTCAGCGGCGAATTGGGCTTCAAGCACTTCCACAACTAGGAAAATTACAGGTAAAACGTAATTAAACTTCCACACATTAGTAAGGCTTCTTCTACTTTTTAAACCAAGCTATTTTCTGATGTAACATTGCTATCCCAGCAACCCAGTCAACAAATCAATTAAATTCCTGGGGGTATGGAAGGTGGGGAGAAATCCCAAACCACTCTTAAGTACCTCAGACATTTTGGCCCTGCAAGGCCCTTTTGACCTTATTGGCAGCTGCTGTAATGTCTCTCAGAAGAACTTGTTTTGTTCACGCTTTATGCATCAAACTAGTGTCTGCCTCCATAAGCACAAAGACAGGAGTGGGCTGGAATTTGGTTGTAAATCACTGACAGAGCCGCAGGCAATCAGCCCTCAAGTCCCTGAGGCCCTGCAGTAATCTTTTCTCCAGCATCTTTTGCAAGTCTCTGGAAGGGTTATAAATTAAGAGTGCTGACTTGGCTAACACAGTGCTGAAAAGCAAATCAGAGAACATAAAATGAAAATCCATACAAGAATAGCATGTGCCACCTTCATACTTAACTAAGGGGTGAATCATTCATTGATCTTGCATAAAAAGGAAAAAAGACAAAGTGATTTAACAAATCAGATCCTCAGCTGGAATAAATCCACTTAGCTGCACTGGTCCAGCAACTTTAATGCCTAAATATCATGTTGCTAGGCAGCTAAAAGCAGCCTAAATTGACATGTCTGAAAAATATATAACTTTCTGCACACCACATGTGCCATATCACAAACTCACCCTTTCCAAAGTGTATTAAGAAATCAGGTGTTTTCCATAAACTATGAGTAGGGCCTCAAGAACTACAAGACAAGGCCTTCCCAAGGGAAGGAACTATATGCAAGTTTTCCAAACAAGAAAACCCCAGAAACTGCGTTAATTTTAGCAATTCTAACTGCACTTAAAATGAAGTACCTTAGGAAGGTTAAAACTTTAATGATTTCACTTTGTAATGACTGCATAAAGCATCATTTTTTAAACCATATTTGCTATCTTTCTTGCTCATCCATCGACAGTAAATACAGTATTATTCATTAGTTAATCACATTGAGTTAATCTTTCTCTCATTCAAGTGCCCTCCTGGTAAACATAAATAAATGATAGACATTAGGAACTTGAACTACCCATTGCAGAGATCATTCAGAACACCTAGAAAGAATGAAAGTCAACCAGTCTATTCCTCCCCAGTGTGGGCTGGAAATAGAATTAAACCCTTGGACACGTTTCCATTTGACATGTAAAAAAGTGCTAACACACAGGTTACATGGGAGGCAGATAGTGAAACCGGATACTTTCTTCAACATTATGAATTTTACAGCGTAAGTTGCACTGCTTAATCTCCTCTCAGACAAATAGTTTCCATTCTGCTTTTTTTCTCACGCAGTTATGTTGTTACAGCACTTCTGCGACATCATCATCGCTGACATGATTCTCAGGAGCATCCAAGAACCTGGACCTTGCTCTCACAGGAAAAGGGTGGCCAGGGAGACCACCACAGCCAGCTCCCTTGCGCTTCGCACCTGTGATCCTGTCCTCAGACCCAACATCTTGCTCTCTGGGCAGTGTAGATACCCAGTGTATGTAAGGATGCTTTCCTGGAGCCAAAGGCCCTCGTCAAACCTGCAGACAGGTACCTTGTATTTTCAAGGACCAGCATCATAGGCTGGCACCCGGATCTCTCACCTCCAAGACACAGGCTTCCTCAGTAGGTAAATCTGTGTGCCCTTTTAGTTAAAAGCGCACTCTACCCACAGAAGTTTTTATGTTTGGCTGCACAAGGGCAGGACCTGTACAGGAGGATTCCATCTGCCCCACCCTACGTTGTGGCTAGAGGACTCCTTCAGGGGTAGCTCTGGATTTTCACTCCTTGTCGGTGAGACTCCCACCTCCCAGCAAGGAGCCAACCTTAAAGACAGCTTTTCAGATACCTACAGGAACTCTCTGACCATTTGAGGCATTTGTTAGAAATAATTACTTACATCTATAAGTGTTTATATACAAGATGCCTACTGGGATTTCTGGAAGTACCTGGAAGCCCAAGTAATAACATAACATTTCTAGATGTTCCCACTGTAATTTGTGTGAAGCATTATGCTGCAAGGCAGAGTGTGGAAAACAGCTTCATCATAATACCACCGAATAGGTGATATGTTTTATAAGATCTCCAAAAATTCTGTAAAAAGGCATTTTCCTGCAGATCACTGTGCTGGGTTCAGCTATAGCAGTCATTTTTTCTCCTTCTTAGTAGCTGGTGCAGTGCTGTGGTTTTGACTTTCAGCCTGGGAACAACGCTGATAACACCGATGTTTTTAGTTGTTGCTAAGTAAGGTTTACTCTGACCAAGGACTTTCTCAGTCTCATGCTCTGCCAGGGAGGAGGGGAAGCCAGGAGGAAGCAGAGACAGGACACCTGACCCAAATTGGCCAAAGGGCTATTCCATATCACAGCACATCATGCCCAGTATAGAAACTCGGGGGAGTTACCTAGAAGGCCCAGATCACTGCTCTGGTCGGGCTGGGTATCGGTCAGCGGGTGGTGAATGGTTGTGTCCTCTCCCCTTGTTATTCCTCTTATCATTATTATTGGTAGCAGTAGTGGTTTGTATTATACCTTAGTTACTGGACTGCTCTTATATCAACCCGTGGGAGTTACATTCCTCTGATTCTCCTCCCCATCCCTCCGGGAGCAGGGGGAGGAGGGAAGGGGGGGAGGAGTGATCGAGCGGCTGCGTGGTTCCAAGTTGCCGGCTGGGCTTAAACCATGACAATCACTATTCTATGTTTCTTGCTATTTCTCTTGCACTAGCTATGATGAGAAACAGAATCAGAAGAAATAATGGGACTTGCTACTAGACTATTTTCCAACCCCTTTATTCCTTTTTAATATAAGAGCTCTCTAGCTCTCCCTCTGCTTATGGCTTCAAGATTGTCTTCCTGAAAAAAATACTTTTATCATCTGCTCCAGTGCAAGGCTTTCCTGAAAGCATGAAGAAGGTAAAACCCAACCGGTATGGTTGTCATGACTCTGCATGTATTATCTAAAGAATGGTTTTATTTTGTTTCCATTTGAAAATAGACTTGGTAAATATAAAAGCATGTCATCATCTCTCACCCTTCCATCCCACACAGTGAAAGCTAGAGGGTTACCACTGTGATACGCAGTATCTTCAAAAATTCAGGCAATTGAAGAAAAAAAATTTATTCCAGTTATGAGAGAAAAATACCCTTCTCACACTGAAGAAAGGTGGACTGAAGTAGGACAACAGCCTACTTTTACAGGTTTCATAGCACAGAGCTGTTATCTGCAGTAAGAGCTGGGTATCCAGTGCATAGATACAGTCCAGCCAAGGGACATGCATTCATCAAGCAGGGAGTGAGCTGCTTGCTTGGCAGGTGTTACACTTACACCCAGACCATATATAACCCAGATCATGTATAACCTTAAAACAAGTACACGATGGAGGAAGGCAACAATACCTCTCGATGTTTTACAGAGAGGCTGTTTGGACCTGACACAAATAAAAAGGGACGCCCTTTAAGTACCTCTTAAGGACCTACCTTCAGAAGCATTTCCTCATGTTGCGGATTCTCTGAGTCGTAGGGCTCTCTGCGAAGCTTTTCAACCTCTGCAATCAGATTTCTATACCCCACAATCTGCAGCAGGCATGCTTGAAGAGATACTCCCAACCTCAGCAGGGGGTGAAAGAAGTAGCATAATCCAGCTCAATTATATGAGTAGCACTACAAGGTACATACCTGTTTAATTCATTAATTTACCTGAGCAATATTACATCTATTAATTGATAGCCCAAGACTTTAATTACAATGGGAGAATTTCAGAAATCAATATTACATTTAACAAGGGTTGTGAAATGCATAGTGCCTTCCTTAGATGATAAATTTTGGTTGGTTTTTTTTTTTTTTTTAAACATGCTTCACTTGTTATACCCTACAGTTGTACAGAAAGGTTGCATTTCAAAGAAAGCTGGAAAGCCTCACAAGACTGCATGTGAAATGCTGTAGTTCACCACTAAACCACAGCTGTAATGTTTTTAACTACTCTATAACCTCGGAGTAGTTTAGAACAGAATGTGACAGGTGGTGGCAGAGCAATTTTATCTTAAAAAAATGTGTTTTTAAGTTCCATGTTGCACAACATACACAAAATAAGCCACATTTGCACTTTATCTAAAGCCAGTCAAATGCTCTATGCAATGTTAGTCATGGCAGGGGGAAGCAGGTGGAATTAGTTTCCCCACATTCCTTCTCATCAAGCAATGCTCTCCTCATTGCCAAACACAGGAGGCAGGTGAGCTGTTGTCCCACACCTCCTCCTTGCCATCCCTGTGCTGGCAGTGGCAGTTCTCAGAGCACAGGAGCAGCCTGCCTGGGCTTGCACTCATCTCCACATGCTCCAACAGATAGAGGAGAGTCCAAAAACTGTGAGTATTTCAAGGACTGCCTCCACAGTTAGTGCAGACTGCATATGTCACCTGGTTATTCGATCTACTTCCTCCTACTACTAAATATTCACACTTATCTGCAAGACATTGATAAAGTGAAATTACTGTGGGTCTCCTCTTCAGGTCACAGAGACCCACAGCCTTCAAGAATAGCTCAGTGCAAACCCGCCTAGAATGCTAGTTCAGCTCTGCAATGATGCTATATTAATAAAAAAAATCACTGCATATGGATTTGCAGAAACACATCCAGTATGACACAAGTCCCTTTGTCCTTACCCCAGGACATTTCAAGTCTCTGCTATGCAAGGAAAGGCCAGAGCTTCTGAACAAGACAGTTTGGATGCAGGTTTTCTTTATGTTCAAGATTAGGCAAGTCAATGAATTTTCCTTAATCCTGACTGAAGAAATACTGACCTGCTTGTGCTGAAATTTCTCCAGAAAACTTTAGTGTAAAATAAATGGCTTGCAAGCAAAACTGCAGTGCAGATGCTTAAAGTTTAGCAGAACTATGATTAATTTAAGGAGCAATTTAGTGGCAGGGTGTGTTTCTGTGTATGTGGCATCACCTTGCATATCCCGGGCCCCTATTCCCCACTGAGGTGCTGATGACCACTTAAAGAAAAGCAGCAGTCAATTTATGGATGCTCATTTTGGATTTACGTATATCAATTTCAAGTTTAGAAAGAGAAGTGAACCTTAGACTTATCACCTGAATAATATAACCCTCTACCATGAATTCCTGACCTAGGCCATCTTGTGCCTTATGCTAAGGGCTGAGAAGTAAGGCAATCACAAAAGTCGTTACTCTTGAAATACGTACTTACAAATTTAATGGTTTGTTGCCAATCTCTTCAATCTCATATCAGCTACGTTGTATCATTAAAACTTGAGTTTGGATAATTAAAGGCAGTTTTAAAATTTAAAACAGTATACTTTTTATATCAGTTACAACTGAATGATTTCTTTCCTTCTCAAAAGGCCATGTACAGCCTTGCTAAGAAGCCATCACTGTCACTGCCAGGACCACCTGCCTTGGTGGTATTTTATCCCTGCAGTAGTGGCCCCCATAAAGCAATGCATCAACAATAAACTAAGACAGCACGATTCAGAAAGCAGATAGATAAAAGACACTCAAGACTTGCCTGTTACAGTCACCATAAAAGACCATTCAATTTTTCCATCAGCTTTTTGACAACAAAGCTTTAGTTGGAGCTTTATGCTGAGACATGCAATTAATCTTCAAATTGTGTGCCACAACAGCTACAGAGAACCAGTTCTCCACGGCCCTAGGCACTGAAGAAATCAGTAATTTGTATTTGTTTTGTAAGGAAACCATAAACTTACTGTGGATTTATATCTGGATTAATCCTTTTCAGCTCCATGATGTCATCTATCGTTTTTTCAATAGCATCAGGGTGAACACTTACTGAAGTTTGCAGCCGCTAAAAAGATTGTAAACGCATGTTAATTCTTATGGAAGCTATTATTCAATAGAAGTTAACAATGGCAAATTTGATACCCAAAAGCTTCTAGATTAAAAGCCCAGAAGACCCAACTCAACATAAATACACACACCTTTTCAGTCTATTCAACCTTACTAACTAGTTTCAGGCACTAGCCCTATAAGAACTTGAGTCACTTCCCATGCCCTTGTGGTCAGTCTATCGCATTTCTGTGGTGGCTGCCAGAGAAGGCAATCTGCACTGAGGCCTTTGATCAAGAAGCAAAGATCATCTGCCTGATTACACTGGAACTGCTAGCCTTCTTTTGACAGCTCTCCCAACACACTGCAGTATGACAGCAAAACATTCTGCCTTTCTCTTGCATGTCATTGCACTTTGTAGAGATGCCCCTGGAAGTTCAGTATTCAAAAATCAGCATTAAAAGATCAAGAGGTTGAATTTTCTGGTGCTTTGTCTCAAAATGACACAATTGCTTAAATGGAAGCTTTTAAATAAGATTCTGCCTTTCTGTTTGTGCTGCAAATATATTTGGAAGCATTATGCTGAACTACGGAGCTCTGCGACACTGGTTTTGCTAATGTTGAGGTAAGCTTTTCAGCATCACCGATTCTCATGCCAATGAGAAATGATCAGGTGAATGATGCTATTTAACATATACACAAATGCTTTGTGAGAAGAATTTAAGATAGCATAACCAGTGCTACAGTGAAAGGATGAAGCGACACAGGCTCTTCTCCATTAACATATTTAAAAGGAAAGCAAAGAACAGTTGTCTCAGTTATCTAAGAACTGCCCTCAGCCTCTTTTATCCCTGTTTTCCACACAAAAACCCTGAGGTGTAAAGTGTGTGGCTGACTGCAGATTACAAAAATTCTAAGACAGGATGAGGAATCAAGCCAAGAAGCCCCAAAATATATCACGTCATCTCCACCACAACTTTCTGCCCCCTTGATTCATCAGTGCCATAGTGTGCCTGTCCCAGGAGCACAGGACACTCTCCCTGAATTTGCAAGATCACCTGCTGTCGTGGACACAAGACCCTCTTCAGTAGAAGATGGCTTTAATAAAAATCATATCAAGCCTTAAAGTGTTTTTTCAGGGTGAGAAAATAGCAGACTGAACAAACCAAATGCACAGGACACAACAGAAAAGGTCAATGATGAGATCTTTCACTCACCTTACTTTTTGAACCTTTCAGTGATGCCTCTGTAAGAGAACAATATTTGAAAGCATCATGTCAGACAAGCTAAGTTTATATTTGATTCATTGAACAATTATTTATTTATAAGAACAAAGTCATACTATTTTTAGCAGAGGCAGAAAGGTACAAAGGCATGCAGAAGTATTTAGCAGTTACCTATTTTCATAGTTCTGGCAGCTCCAGGTTTGGTATTGTAGCAAATCCTTTGTAATTCACATTGACCAGTTAGTTTCCTAACCACGAATTTCAGGCAGCGCCACAAGCACTTGCAGTAGAAGTACAGGCATACCTGGAGAAACATCCTGGCAAAAGAAGAAACCTTGGAAGTAAGTCTTGAGCAAGGTTTGCCTCAACAAGGTCACCACCCAAGCTGAAGGTACACTCTCAGCCCAAATTCCCATTGCCTAAGAGCATTTTTAAAGCAAAAGCCACTTTCACACTGCAAAGGGTTATACTGGTAAGCGTCAGAAATGGTTTTTAGTCTTAGGATGCACAAAGTGCCAGAACTGGAAGCACAGAATAAGTCAGCTCCAGAGTTCTCAAAAGGGTATTTCCAGAAACTCTCTGTCCCCTTAAAATAAAGGGTCATACAGATCCTACTAACACTTTGGAGAAACAGTACTACGTGAGAAGGAAGCACAGTTCACCCCACCCAGCCACTACAACCTGGCTTAGCTTTGCCTCTGCATCCAGCTGCTCCAAGCAGTGGTTATCCTGATAAACAAGAATCAACACTCCGGTTCACGAGAGTGAAGACTGACTATTAAGGAAACCAAAGCTTCCCCCACCTTCAGGAGAGAAAGCATTTAAGAGCCTCTCCTGAAGACTGCCAGTTCTCCCCAAGATCAGCTGTTACACAGTACTGATCCTGCACAATTTCTCGAAGTGCAGAACTGACAGTAAGCCAAGAAAGCCCTTATTCAGATACTGCATCCAGTTTTGAGCCCCAGCAATACAAGACAGGCTTTGACAAACTGGATAGATTTCAGTAGAAGCTCCTGAGATAGCAGGGCTAGAGCACAGACCCTGAGAGGAGAGGCGGGAGAGCTGAGCTTATTCAGCCTACAGCAGAGAGAATTTCAGGGGAACCTATCAGCAGCACGCAGTGCCTGTGGGAAGATCATGGAGGAGACAAAGCCACGCTCTTCAGAGTGGTGCACGGCAGGAACATAAGGAACCACAGCCATAAGCTGAAACATAAGAGGCTCAGCCTAAATAGAAAGAGAAGCTTTTTCCACATGAGGACAGTCAGGTAGTGGCACAGGCTGCCCAAAGAGGCTGGGCAGTCTCCTTCCTCAGAGTTTAACCCGACTGGAAGAAGCCCCAAGCATCCCAGTCTGACCTCAGAACTGACCTGCTGTGAGCAGGAGGTTGGACCACAGACCTGCTGATGTCCCTCCTAGCCTGAACTATCCTGTGATCCTATGAAAGCCTGAAAAAGGCTGTGTACATGAGAAATGCTCTATTTTAAAGTTCATTAGCATTGCAGCTGTTACCAAAGCCCACATACTGCTACCACAATCACATTACACATCCCAAAATCAGATTTCATGGGCTATAACTTATTTGGACACAGTTTAGCTTCCTTGTTTCTACAGCTATGAAGGCATAGATCCTGCAATGTTATCCAACATGTCAACCCTTACGGGGTATACCAGGACTTGAGGTGTGCGTGTGGGATCTACCCAGGGTCATTGGATTCAGAAGCACATTTCAGGAAGGCAAGTTGCAGAGACCTGACAACTGGAACATCATCATCTGGACATGGTCCTGTGCAACTAGCTCTAGGTGGCCCTGCCAGAGCAGGGTGGGTGGACTAGATGGCCCCTAGAGCTCCTTTCCAACCTCAACCTCTCTATGATTGTATTATGGGAAAACATCAATACAGCTTTGATATGCTGGCTTGCCATTAAACAGTCAAAAATAACTGGGTCTCTAAGCCTGTATGTATGCATATTCATCATTAGCCCACTATTTTTTCCACATGCTGTTGATGTTTTCTAAGGACAGTTATTTGTTAGGAGACTCTGTATTATTCTTTTCAATGGAGTGCAGTGGTTATTCTGAAATACTGAATTCCAGATAGCTTTAATAAAGCTTGAAGACTCCATCACTTTCTAAAAACATCCTGAAGGGCATGGTGCAGAAGGACATTCAGGGAAGGGAAGATAAGTTAACTCATGTTTATGTCCACATAGGAGTTTAATCTGCTTTATGCTCACTTTAGCTTAATTGCCTTTGAAGGGGGATTAAGCTAAGAGAACTAAAGCCATTTTATGTTTAAATAGAGAGTATCCACACAACTATTCAACATGCTTTAAAAGCATCCACTTTATCTTCACACTTTCAGTTACTTCACTTAACACTCCCAAACGCCTGCATGCAGGTGACCCCCTTGTCTTTATGCATCAGGAAGCCTCTCTTTTAGATACAAAGTGAAACATACAGAATAAAGAATCACTCCCACTCTGGAATAAAGTTTTGGAATCAAGTTTAAGACAAGCAAAAATGTTTCAGCTCCTGACACTGAAATACTTGGTCTGTCCCCCTCCCTGCAAGATGTGCCAGAACACGCTGGCACACTGGGTGGAGTTTGCATGTGCTTCACAGCAGGTTATGATCTTCAGTATTAAGAACAAGACCAGCAACCAGGAGGCAAGTCTGCCATCAAGCCAAGCAGCCATTCTTTAAGTTTCCAACAGTCAGAAGGGTAAGTCAGTCTCATATAAAGTCAAGTAATGACTTCAAACAGAAACCTTTAATAGTGGCTTGAAAAAACCCCACAGGCTAACATTTGGCATTTTGTTTTTCCAGCAGACATCTGATATGAACCTTCACAGATTTGACTAGTCTTCCATCCCTGAAAAATCCAAACTCAACCTATAGCCAGCCCTCACCCTTCTCAGAACAACCCTGATCTGTAGTCAGGCTGAAGGTCCAGAGAAATTAATACAAGGGATTAATGCCAAACTGGAAGGTGGAGTGTGGCAAAACAAAGTTCTAGGTTTCACCACACATCTGTGGTAGAAATTAGTGTTGCTTTCTTTTGGCCTGCTTTGTTTCCAAAGGTTAGGCCTCTATTAGTGCAATTCTCTGGGTAGAGAGCTCTTCTATACAAAAGAAGGGAGGAAAGGCTCACTTCATGTTAACAGCCCACATAAGATTTCCTTCTAATGAGGAAGACTGCTCCCATAAAAAGCACACAGAATTCATGACGACAGGGCTAAATCATCACAACCCATTTCACTACTCAAACCCTTGTTTCTTACTGTATTGTGTGATGTGGGTAAGTTCTGGAGTGTGTGGGGAGGTGTTAGCTGCATTTGAATTATATGTTGTTGCTTACCACATGGTTGCAAACACCTTTCCACTGAAGTTTTTGCTTCAGCTGTGGTTTGCACAAAGATTACCTAATAAAAATGCATCTACTAAAAACACGTCACTACAGCACTCAAACACTACGTCTGTGATTCACTAAAATATGCTTGGCAGCTATTACTAATAAAGCAAACAAACACTAGTTTTCTACTAGGCAGCTTACAGAAGAAAGTTAGCCTTTGTCAATACCTTCAATTTTCTACTACTCATCCATCTCAAGCTTACAACAGTGGAAATCTTCCATTTGTAACATGAACAGCATGAAAAATAACACAAGTTTGTTTTCAAAGGGTTGTTCTTTATAAAATGGAATTCTTGCTTGCAGAAGTCCTGTAATAAAAGCACACTAGTGATTATAAAAGTTGGCTTACATGCTAGCAGCTACACACTTCAGTTCATGTAAGCAAAGTGGAGACACTAGCAGCTATAAAACAAAATATAGTGTACCATGAACATGAACCCATACAGAAGTGAAGCATGAGCCACATGCCTGACTACTGCACAGTGGCATTAACTTCTGGTTTGTTTTAGAGTCCAATTCCAAACCTCCCCTCCACTCAAACTCTTCTACGTCTTTTTTCATTTGTTCTGCTTGACTTTGCTAGTTTTCTTAGCATAGGAGAGTGTGCTTCACCAGCAGTTTGTGTGGTGATACACAGCAATACTTCAGATCCTGAGGTGAGCTTTCAGAACAGAAGTATTACAGAAATGAAAGTGTTCCTCAGAAACTTGCACTCTATTCTTCCCCATCCCAATATAAGCTCCTCCTCCTGTATTACTTGCAGCTGCACAGACCTACAGATTTCTGTTTATACATGCAAAGTGCATTAAAAGAGTTCATACAAACATTTATTCAGGTACAACAAAAAACCTGCATAATAAGATGCTGATGTACACAGGCCCAACCAACAGGCAGTTCCTTTGCCAAGGATGCTGTATGAGTGGACATACATGCAGCCATTTTGCCACAAGAAGTCAGGATTACTCATTCCCAGTTGTTGATGCCAAACACCTGGGCATCAGAGCTACCTGTTTGCTCCTGAGGAATATGAACACAACTCAGTGTATTTCTCCCAGCTTGGCCCACAGAAAGGGTCACTGAGCTCCGAGATCAATACTACAGAAAACTGTACTTGTTACTTGGATTCCAAGGAGAAAAAATAATATCAAACCAACAAGATGTTCTGAAATGAGTAAGTATTGCCTTACGGACTTAAGAGAATGCTACCTGGTGCTTAAAGCCACCACCACAGCTACAGAAATGTAAAGGTTTTTTTGTGTAATTAGCAAATATCAGTTAGGGCCTGGTACATGCATTTATTTCACCTCTCCTGCCTTGCTCCTCTGCATTTGTCTTTTTTATCTTCTCTGCTGTATGTCACTACTTCTGAGCTCTGATTTTCTGCTAGGAACAGTTTTAACAAAAAAAAAACAAAACCCACAAAAAAAACAAAAACACCCCAACAAACAAACAAACAAGCAAAGAAAAAAAATCCGGCAGGCAGTCCCTTGCAAGAACTATCAGGAATGCTGCAAAACCAAACAAGCAACCCATCTCTACCAGCAATAATGGGGCTCAGGATTGGTTCTGGAGAGCTCTCTTCCACAGGGGAGGGCATGAAGAAAAGGGGTTCTACAATTGCTAGGATCCTTGCAAGACACAGAGAAATTTATAGCCAAAAAGAGAACGGAGTAAGAGTACCGCTACTGCAGTTACAGCACTTCTATTCCTCTGCCTGGCGTAAGGAAGCACACAGCAGCAGTAAAGGTTTCCAAAGTTGTCTAGCATTTCTGTGAAGCTCTTTCCTGTGTAAGGTATGTTTGCCTAAATAGCAAGATGTATGTAAAATGCAACATGCAGTGTTTCACTGACATGAAAGGAAGTAGAGATTAACTACTGTGCAACGTTTCTGAAACTAATAAA